GGCCTTGCTGTTTTCTGTGTGAGATCTTTTCATTCCCCATTTTGAGTGCAGTAACTTTTGATTCTCTTAATTACTAACTAGATTCCCTGCTGTGAGGTTTTGTCCTTAAACATCTGGTCACATTCTTTTCCCTGTCATGCAGAGCAGTGGTTATATCCCTTAGTTACATTCATAGGTGGCAGATCAATGCTAGATTATTAAAAGGAACATGAATGTCAGAGTATATTCCTAGTGTTTTAAGGTAAAATTCATTAAAGAATACTACTATATCGTTTCACAGAATGCCTCTTGACCACTATCAGAGATAGATTCTAAGCTAACTGGAGCAGTTGTATGTTAGAACTGACACAGTCCAGGTGGATTGGATGATAAATAGAATAAAATTTCTCAGTCAAGGTAATTTCCTCAATCTTTGGCCCATGGTTATTACAGATAATTCTTTTTTTTGAGACGGAGTTTTGCTGTCGTTACCCAGACTGGAGTGCAATGGCATGATCTCGGCTCACCGCAGCCTCCGCCTTCTGGGTTCAAGCAATTCTCTTGCCTCAGCCTCCCGAGTAGCTGGGACTACAGGCACGCACCACCATGCCCAGCTAATTTTTGAATTTTTAGTAGAGATAGGGTTTCACCTTGTTGACCAGGATGGTCTCAATCTCTTGACCTCGTGATCCACTCGCCTTGGCCTCCCAAAGTGCTGGGATTACAGGCTTGAGCCACTGTGCCCGGCCTACAAATAATTCTTAAAAAGAAATAAAATCTCTTCACAGCTGCTCATGAGTCTGAGGCAGGAGGATCATTTGAGACCATGAGTTCAAATCCAGTCTGGGGAACATAATGAAATTTCATCCCTGAAAACCTCAGAAGGTACTGTAAACTGTCATCTTCATTTTAGAGCTTAATGAAGTTGACAGATCTTAAATTAGGTCTCAAGAATGTGCCTGCTACTATCTTTAAATACTTATAAAATAACGTCACTGAGTTGTTTAATGGGTAGTTTTAACTATAAGTCACTTGGCTTTCACAGATGACAATAGCAAGTAGAATTTTTTGTTGTCTAGCTGTATGGATTCATATGTGGCAACAGAAAGCTTCATTTATATCCAGTGAGATTTTATAGGGAATTGAGAAATTATACAGGGCAGTATGTTTTGATTTGGTTTTTCTCTCCTTAACTGTAAATATATCTTGAAAACTTTTTGTGAATTAGAAGGAATTTTAGGTTGGACATGGTGGCTGGCGCCTATACTCCCAGCACTTTGGGAGGCCAAGGCGGGAGGATCACTTGAGGCCAGAAGTTCAAGACAAGCCTGGGCAACATAGCAAGACGGCCCTCCTCCCCAAGAACATTTAAAAATCATCCAGGCATAGTGTTGTGTGCCTATGGTTCCAGCTTCTCAGGAGGCTGAAGTGGGAGGATTGCTTGAGCCTGGGAGGTTGAGGCTACAGTGAGTCATGATTATGCCACTGCACTCCAGCTTGAGCAACAGAATGAGACGTATTTTTCTCAAGCAAAACTTTGTAAGACTCATGTGACATAGAATGTAATAACACAAAAAAAATTGTTTTTTTTTTTTAATTCACATGGAAAAATAAAATTTCCATGTTGCATCATGAATGCTTTATTAATATCATTTAAAAATCTTAGTATATTATAAAGATACACGATTCACAATTGTCAACTCACGTCAGTCTAAGTACTCTTGATTATGCTAATGTTTATTTTCTTTATTGTTTTTGATAAATATAAGCTCATAGAATATTATCCCATACTAAAAAGAAATGAACTATCCAGCATTCAAAGACATAGAGGAGAATCTAATGCATGTTATTAAGTGAGAGAAGGCAATCTGAAAAGACTACATACTGTATGATAAAGTGTGAAAAAATATATACAAGCTCAATCATATTCAGACCTACAGTAGTGGTGAATAATAACCTAAGCAATTGAATACTCGAATCTAGTTCTTAAAATTCCTATTATTCACTATGACATGAGAAATATAAACTTAATTAGCTTTAACTACTCTTTCCTCTGAATGTTTGTCTTCAAATAAAATTGGATTGTCTCAGAACTGCTTTACCAATCTGTGACCTTTTTCATTCAAGTGACAGTAAAGCTATTTTTCCGGCTGAGAGTTGGGAGGACACCTGCTTTTTGCATGCACTGTCTCATTTAATCCTCACACTAATATTATCGGGTAGATAGAGTAAAAAAACAGAGGATCAGAAAGATTAAGTAACTTGGCAGAAGTGGAGCTGATAAGTAGTTGAAGCGTGCTGGGAACTGAGGGCTGCCTTAGTATCCATGCCATTCTTCCAGCTCTGGCAACAGTTTCCTAATGAGTTCTTCACCCCGTCAATGTTGTGAGACTAAGAACGTGGTGTTTTAAGTGGCTTAAAATTTCATGTAATCAGAGTATGGCTAGATGTTACTTTCCGATTTCATATGTGCCTAAAGTTTCATAACATGTGTAACAACTGATATGATTAAGCCACGGTAGAATTCTATTCTAAAAGCTCGGCAAAGCTGGAAACAAAAGCCTCCTCTTTGGTAGGGAGTATTGCAGCACTCTTCTTCCCTGAAAAGCAAATGCACCACTGTTTATGTAGTCTACAATCTAGGCAAGGGAGGAACAGTGGTTTTAAAAATATATCAGGAAAGGAACTAGAAGATACTTGTATGAGGTGGGCAACCGTACCTTCCATTTTCATTAATAATTGCTCAAGCTTCTTCACAGTGATGGTCTGCATTTCTTATATAGCAAAATCTCTGGAGGTTTGGAATGTTTTTGATGGTTAGAACCAGGAGGCATGGACCTGAGAACTTCTCTAGCCAGACTCTTCATTTTAGATAAGGAAATGATACAGCTCAGAGAGTAAAATGTCTAATCCAAGGAAATAATGTAGCTCAGAGTAAAATGTCTAATCCAAGGTCTCTTGGAAAAATAATAGCAGAACTGAAGTCTCTTGCTCCCTTTCCAGTGCTCTCTGATTTTATGTTACTCTGTCCCAGCAAGGAATGTTATCTCGAGGTAAGATACTTTTGTATAATAGTTATCTCTGAAGCTCATCTTGTTTTCAGCCTGACAGATAATCCTTTTGTAGTATGAGTCTTGCAAGTTTTGCTAATGTTTTTGACAATCTGGTGTCACTCATCTGCGCCTAGGTCATATTTTCCTTCCCCTCCCTACACGGTGACTGAAGTACCCACATTCTTTCTAATTGCCCATTAGCCGCCTGCTGCTCTTGGAATCCTTAGACTTCTGTGGGTTTTTGGAACTTCTGCTGTTGTGTTTTATGAATAATAGTCCCCTTTCTGTTGAAATTTTTCTGGTTACATCATTTTATTTACCAATGTATTGCTTTTTAACAAATTGTACGTATCAGTAACATTGAATATTAAAGTAAGTGATAAAATGGATCAAGCAGGAAACTTGACCATTACAAATCTATGCTGATTGAATAACTGAGATAATCACAATGCAGGTTGCCATTTTCACTATTCAGGACCCTTTCTTGACCTCCTCTAGGAAAGGGAGTCATCAATTCCGTTCTTTCTCCTTACCTTTACTTTAAAAGTCCATCCTTCTTTGGCAATAATCCTCAAGGGTTTTATTTAACTCCCTTTTACTAAAAAGGAGCATTACCCTATCTCATCAGTTTTTCACAAAGAAGCATGGAATCATACCTTGATAACTATATGGGAATAACGTAATCAACAAAAGAAGAGAATTTGGGAAGCTGACCCCAGTCTCTATGAGATGAAATGTGTTAAGCATAGTAGTGTGGCTGAAGAAAAGGGAAAGAAAACACTGATTCTGTTAGTTTCTTTGTAGTTCTCCGTGGAAAACTCCTTTACTCACACTGGGACCCTTTTGGTCTTGCTACTATTGTGGTTAGAAAATTAGAAAGCAAAAGAATCACCTATGTTTTTAGAAATACCCTAAAAAATGGCAGGCCATCACTGGGCCTTATACTTCTAATGGCCAAAATGTACAGTGACATAAAAGGTCTACGAGGGAATTCTCTAAAATGCAAGTAAGCGCTGTAGGTGATTGTTTTTCAGGAAGCACAGCAGTTGGAGTTTCAGCGCTAAAGACGCCATGCTGGGTATGACTGGAATACCGTGGTACGTAGATTCACCCCGTACTGCCAGAGTTGATCTGAAATAAAAGATGAGATCTTATACAAATTACTGTATTGCAGTGTAGTATACCAGGTTCAGAGGAAAGTAACTTGACTTCAAGCTCATGTTATAGGGAAGGATGTGGATTTTATTAGATCAGAACATAAATGGGCTTAAACAGGAGGAAAGTCTTCTTCCTGATAGGATCTGTAATTGCTTAGAAAGATAGGGAGTATTTTACCCTGGGACATAAAGAATGGACCAGTGTGGCCAGGGCATTGGATTTCACATTGAAATCAAAAGATTGGAACTGGAAGGCAGTAGAAGGCAGGGTTCTGGGCACACTCTAGAGGGAGGACAGCCTCAGTCGTGGTGCATACACACAGTATTACTGAGGAAGAAAGATCCTTTCTGAGGCAAACTAGCAAAGGGTATGCATATAGGCAGATAGTCTATTAAATTTGAACATGAAAATTAGAACTGATACTGAGATTTGAGTGAAGGGTGAAGTTATAATTTATAACAATGTTTACAGTTTGGTGCATTTCAGTAGCTGTTAGTTAAGCATTTATTTGTGATTTTTGAGAAGTTTGTGTTACTTCTTTTTATTAAGAAAAACATTTCACTAGCCATTAGCTCTGGCATGTGAATCCTGCTTCTATCCTGGCATCCGGAAGTATTTCTGATGTTGTCAGGCAGAGTTTAATCGGAAAGGCTCAGCTTCTTTAGCTGCTCCATCTGACTCACACATCTGTCTTCCTGTTCAGGTCTGTTTTAGTGCGGGCAAGCCAGGGCACCAAACTGTAATTGTTCTAATATGTTACACCATGATGGGAGTTGATCCTAACACGGGCATTTTCTTTACTTCTTGAAGGACTTTTTTCAGGAGATATTGCACCTTTAATGCAAGAAAAAATACTAAGTGCAGTCACACATGCTGTTGATGATGAAGAAGGTGCTGAAGCAAATGCGAATGAGCAGCCAGAAGCGCCGAAGCTCGTTCTGCAGTCTTTGTTTTCACTTATACGAGGTGAAGTTGAGCAGTTGGATTCAAGAACACTTCCCCTTTGCCTTCATCAGGTACTACGGCAAACCCTTCACTTTCAGCCCCACTAAAAATCTCAGCAGTGTTGGGAATGATCTAAAATGCTATCTTGGCTGGACGCAGTGCCTCATGCCTATAATCCCAGCACTTTGGGAGCCCAAAGTGGGTGGATTGCTTGAGCATGGGAGCTTGAGACCAGCCTGGGCAACATGGTGAAACCCCATTTCTACAAAAAAATAAAAAAATCAACTGTGCATGGTCACGCACACCTGTGGTCCCAGCCACTTGGGAGGCCGAGGAGGGATGATTACTCGAGCCTGGGAGGTGGAGGCTGTATTGAGCTGACATTGTACCACTGCACTCTAGCCTGGGTGACAGAGTGAGAGAACCTGTCTCTAAATAAATAAATATAAAATAAAAAATAAAATGCAAGCTCTGTAATTGATTCTGTCCCACTTATCCTTGGTGAGCCCAGGGGAAGGTGACCCTGGTAGGATATTGGGCATATTGCTAACTGATTGCCACATTTTGGCCTTGCATAATCCATAGTTTAAACAATGGCTAACTTTTAAAATCAGTGATTAACCTGTGTACAGATAAGAGTCAATATAGCAAGAGTTTGATAAGCATCTTCCAGGTGCCAAAGACTCTGCTAGACACTGGGGAAACAAAGATTACTTAACAGAATATGCCCTTAAGAGAGCCACTGTGGAACAGGAGGAGCAGTCATATAGATAAGTCATTGTAGAATTTTGTGTTAAGTGTTAGAGTAAACATATGTTAAAGGTTCAGCAGCACAAAATGAGTGATTGAGTAATTCTGCCCTGTGGACACTTGTGCTGGGTTTTACAGGCTTATTAGTGGATTAACAGAATGAGCTGGTGCAGGAAGAAAGATGAGCCTGTGAAAGGCATGGCTGGGATACTATTGGAGGTTCAGAAGGAAAAAGAAGAGGTGAGATTGGAGAGCTGGTGAGATCAAGGCTTTATTTTTAGGGACTGGGAATTTTTAATCACAAGAGTGCCAGAATCAAACTTGAATTTTAGAAAAAGAACTCTGTGGAATATTAGGAGGGTATATATATTAGAGGGTGGAGACTGCGGAGCCTTTAGGCCAGTGGTGAGGAAACTTTTTCTTTTTAACATAAGAGCTAATTCAGAGGAAATTAAGATATTGGAGCTACATTTTCTTTATCTGTTTTTTTATTTTTTTGAGACAGAGTCTTGCTGTGTTGCCTAGTCCAGAGTGCAATGACACATCTTAGCTCACTGCAACCTCCACCTCTTGAGTTCAAGCAGTTCTTCTGCCTCAGCCTCCCAAGTAGCTGGGATTATAGGTGTGTGCCACCGTGCCTGGCTAGTTTTTGTATTTTAATAGAGACAGGTTTTCACTATGTTGGCCAGGCTGGTCTCGAACTCCTGACCTCGTGATCCGCCCGCCTCGCCTCCCAAAGTGCTGGGATTACAGGTGTGAGCCACTGCACCTGGCTAGTTTTTGTATTTTAATAGGACAGGTTTTCGCCATGTTGGCCAGGCTGGTCTCGATCACTCTGGTTGGCCTTCAGCCTCCCAGAGTGCTGGGATTGCAGGCATGAGCCACTGCATTCGGTCTGCAATTTATTTTTACATAAAATGAAAATAACTGGTACATGGGAATGAGAAAGTTCCACTTTTTATTCCATTTACTTTTGTAATGAGAAGTGAGTAATGTTTAATTTTTATCCCATTTAGAAAAAAAGTACAGCTGGCTGCAAGTGCTCAGTTTTACATAAACACGCTCTTTGAGGCCAAGCCAATTTTGAATAATTGTCTATGTGAAAAGAAAAATAAAATAGAAAAACTGTTCTTGGAGTTATTTCTTTTTTTTTTCCTCTCTCTGAGACAAAGTCTTACGCTGTTGCCCAGGTTGGAGTGCAGTGGCACGGTCTCAGCTCATTGTAACCTCTGCCTCCTGGATTCAAGCAATTCTCTTGCCTCAGCCTCCTGAATAGCTAGGATTACAGGTGTGTGCCACCACACCCGGCTAATTTTTTTTTTTTGTATTTTTAGTAGAGACAGGGTTTCACCATGTTGGCCAGGATGGTCTTGAACTCTTGACCTCAGGAGCCATCTGCCTTGGCCTCCCAAAGTGCTGGGATTACAGGCATGAGCCACGGTGCCTGGGCTCTTGGAGTTATTTCTAAACAGAATTTGCCTCTAATCCTAGTTTAACAAAAACGATATGATGTTACATTAGGATTGGAGATAAGAGTATCCTCAGGGCAAACAGGAAATGGGATAAACATAGGCTGGGCACGGTGGCTCACGCCTGTAATCCCAGCACTTTGGGAGGCCAAGGTGGGTGGATAATCTTGAGATCAGGAGTTCAAGACCAGCCTGGCCAACATAGTGAAACCTCATCTCTACTAAAGATACACGACACACAAAAATTAGTCGGCCATGGTGGCACGCGCCTGTAGTCCCAACTACTCGGGAGGCTGGGGCAGGAGAATCACTTGAACCCAGGAGGCAGAGGTTGCAGTGAGCTGAGATCACACAACTGCCCTCCAGTCTGTGTGAAAGAGTGAGATTCTGTCGCAAAAAAAAAAAAAGTAAAATAGGGCCAAGCACAGTGGCTCATACCTGTAATTGCAGCACTCTGGGTAGCCAACACAGGTGGATTGCTTGAGCCCAGGAGTTCAAGACTAGCTTAGGCAACATGGTGAAACTTTGTCTCTACAAAAAAAATTTAAAAATTAACGAGGTATGGTGCTGTGTGTGCCTGTAATCCCAGCTACTCAGGAGGCTGAGGTGGGAGGATTGCTTGAGCCCAGGAATTTGAGGCTGCAGTGAGCTGTGATTGTGCCACTGCTCTCCAGCCTGGGTGTCAGCAAGACCCTGTCTAAAAAAGCAAAATAGGTTTTGTCCCAATTCAGGAAAATATATATTTTTACAAATTTATACTACCTCCTTTATGAACTTGAAGAATGCCTTTGAAGAAATGTGTACTCCTTCTGGTCTCTAAGGTGTCATGAACTCACCATATCTGAGTAGCACCAACACCAAGGCAGCTTTCTCATCACTCAGCTTTCATTGCATTGGAGCAGTGGGTTGCACAGCAGTCCTTTCTCTCTTGGGAAAGAAGGTTAGAGAATATAGTGATGGTTTAAAAGTACGGGCTGGGACTCTTCCACCAGCTAAGTGGCTTTTGGTTTCTTCTGTTGTAGAGTAATAGAGGATTAAATGAGATAATGCATGTAAAAGCACTTAGCGTATGTTTGACGTGACGTACAGTAAAAGCCAAAGAAATATTAAACATTTAAACTCTATTCCTACTGTCACTAATTCAGAGATTGCTCATTGGAAATCAAGGCTAGGGGTCAGCAAATAAATACTGATATCTTTAGAAAGCTGAGTCATCAGGGTGACAAGACTCAGTTGATGGCTGCCTCCTCAGCCCAAGAATACAGAATATGCTGTCACCTCCCAAGGGACACACAAATTAGGGAGAGGTGGAGGTGTATTTTATTCATTTTAGTAATTCCCAGCACATCACATGGTATATTTCACCTAGATTTGTCAGGTGGTGACATTTTATCAAATTTTTGCTCTTTTTCATGTGTGCTCTTGCTCTCTCTCGTGCACACACACACATTTTTTCCACTGAAACACTTGAAAGTAATTTGCATTATGACACTTCACCCCTAAATATTTGTACATAAATCTCCCAAGAAGAACTTACAAGGCCATTATCAACCCCAAGAAATTAGTCACTGATGCAATCAAATTATTTAATATACAAATTTCCCCAAAGTAGTTCCGCAAATGTCCTATGTAACTGTTACCCCCACCTCCAACCCAGGATTCAGTGCAGGATGACATATTGCATTTGACTGTCAACATTCTTTAGTCTTGTGTCATCCAGAATGCTCCTGCTTTTCTCTCTATCTGTATCAGTCTTTTTCCCTCCTTTCTTTCACACTGACATTTGTGGAGAGTCTAAGATTTCATGTAGAATGTCCCATAATCAGGAATTTTCTCATTATTTCTTGAAGATTTTATTCAGGTTAAGCATTCTGGGCAAGAATTCTGCTTAGGTAATATTCCATACCCCATTCTCTCTTGAATCCATTCCAATCTGGCTTTTGTTTCCACCATTGCCCCAAAATTGTACTGTAGAAGTCACCGGTGATCTCCATGTTGTTAAATTCAGTGGTCAGACCTCAGTTTTCATCTTGCTGGAGCTATTGGAAACATCAGGTTGATCACAGACTCTGTTTTGAAGCGTTTTCTTTTTTTCTTTTTTTGAGACACAGTCTGTCTTGCTCTGTTGCCCAGACTGGAGTGCAGTGGCGTGATCTTGGCTCACTGCAGCCTCCACCTCCCAGGTTCAAGCGATTCTTCTGCTTCAGCCTTCTGAGTAGCTGGGATTACAGGCACACACCAACATGCCCGGCTAATTTTTTATATTTTTAGTAGAGGAATAGCAACGAGATTTTACTGTGTTAGCCAGGGTGATCTGTATCTCCTGACCTGTTATCTGCCTGCCTTGGCCTCCCAAAGTGCTGGAATTAATAGGCATGAGCCACTGTGCCCGGCCAAAGCTTTTTATTTACCTTTGGGACTTCTCTTCTTGGCTTTTACCTAGCCATGCCTCCTCTGGCTCATTTGCTGAGTTCCCATATTTTCCTTTTTTTTTTTTCCCACTCTGTCACCAGGCTGGAGTGCAGTGGCATCATCACAGCTCACCATAGTCTCCACCTCTCAGGTTCAGGCAGTCTTCCTGCCTCAGCTTCCCAAGTGGCTGGACTACAGGCACATGCCACCACGCCCAGCTAATTTTTAAAAATTTTTTGTAGAGACAGGGTTTCACCATTTTGCCCAGGCTGGTCTCAAATTCCTGACCTCAAGTGATCCTCCTATAACTGGTGGACAGGAGCTGGACTGCGGGGGTCCCAAAGATGCTTACTGTTCCCGATTGGATGTGTTTTCCCAGGTCCTTGGGCCTTAGTCACCCAAGAATGGGAGAGGGCCCTGGTGGCGCGGTGAGCTCGTTT